ATGCAGCTGGAACTTGTGGTAGCACAGAAAATCTTCATTAAATCTCAATCTGTTCCATTAAATGTTTTGTAAGAAGCAAATCACTTTGTCTTTACTGGAAGTTTAGTGTTTTCAAAAGAATTCATCTTAAAGTCAGTGGTATCTAAAATTAAAATCCACAGGTAACACATATAATAAACATTTCATAGCTTTCCTTTTCATTTAATAAAATTTATCTCAAAGATGTTTGTTACTGAAATTGAGTAAACCATGGCTGGATAGGTGTCTTTGGATAAGTAATTTGATCTCTCTGAAGCTATCTCCACATTTGAAGGGTGTTAATCTAGTATTAATGGAGGATAGAGGGCCTCATCTCTCCCTGTTGCTAATGGGGGTGTATTTTTTTTTTTAACGATATCCCAAGAAAAGGAATTTTCTGAGACTCCCGCAGGAGGATGAGATATAGTAGAAAACTTTATTTTCATGGAATTAAATACCTGACTTTTCAAAGTGTCATTTTCTTTTGCCCAGTCATAGAAGAAGTGTAGTTGGACTTTAGCAGAGCTAAAATCAGAGTCAGTGTCCAGAGTTTCCTTTCCATGTTGCAGCCAGGTTCAGTTTAGCATCAGACTAGCTTAGTTTCTGTTTCCCGGTACAGTCCATTCGTCCATTGCATGTGGGGTCCCATGGCCATGGGCCATATGAGCGAATGCAAGAGAGCCAAGAGTCAAGAGCCACATGAGCAACAAGAGTCAAAGTCAAGTGCACCAAGAAAGGGAAACAACTCCTTTGTTTAGGAAATCATGTATTCCCAAGTTTTTAAGTGCGTGCAGTGGCTACACCCATTCTGGCCAATGATCTCTGTTCCCAAGTGTGATTGATAGGCAAGTGCCTTCTCTATGTCACCCCAAATTTATCTGGGCATACATCTATTCCTCCTTTGTCCAGTCCTCTGCCCTCAGTGTCTTGCAATGAATAGCCAGTGGTTCCCTGGGGAGTGCAAAGCTGCAGTTTCCTGGTGAAGCTGCCCAAATGACATGCCTATAATGTCTGGCCTTCTCTTTGCTTCTTTTCTGTTATTACTAACTAGCTAATTACAATGGTATCACTAGTACCCCTTTGGAATGTAAAATTATGTTATGATCTGTTATGTGCGGGCCAGGTTAAAGTTCTAAGAAAAATGACTAGATAGAAAACGCCAGAGAAAACATCCATTTTTTTTATATCAGGAGGGATCTAATTTAATACAGTTGTTCTTAGCAAAAGTAAATAAACAAACTCATGAGTTTAATAGACAGGCTTGGTTGGAGTTTAGTTTCTAGCCAGTACTGATCATTCTAATTTGAGAATAGCAAGTGAACTTAGTGAGTCATATACTTACATATTAGAGTCCAGGCACTGAGAAGATGTACATTTCTTCTACCTCCTTCTTTTCAAGAGAAAATTTGAAATTTCTTTATGAAAACAGACATTCCTCTCAATGGAAATTTACGTTATGCATACGTTTTTCTTCATGTGATAATATACTGGAACTCAAGTCCCTTTTCTTACACAAAGCACTTCTAAGCTTTTAATTTTTATGAAATTAATAATCACATTTTGAAGAAGTCATTAATTCCTCCTTTGAACCTGAAATGGGTTTGAAAAGCATTGTAGAGGAAGTGGGATTTTAGTTGGATCTAAAGGATTTGGATCAGTGGTTCTCAATTTTTCCTTCCCAGTATACCTCAAGAATGTGACTTAGGCCTGGTTGGTGTGGTTCAGTGGTAGAACATCAACCAATGAACCAGGAGGTCAGGTTCAATTCCTGGTCAGGGCACATGCCTGGGTTGTGGGCTCGAGCTCCTGTAGGGGACGTGCAGGAGGCAGCCGATCAATGTTTCTCTTTCATCATTAATGTTTCTCTTTCTCTCCTCCTCCTCTCCCTTCCTTTCTGAAATCAATAAAAAAACATATTTTTCAAAAAGGGTTGTTGTTGTTTTTTAAAAAAAGAATGTGACTTAGGCTCAAGGTAGTAATCATTTGGGAGGTGACTTTAAAAATCCCTCATAATCTGATGTATACTTCTGGAGGAACTCTATTACTTTGCACATCATTGATTTAGATGGAAGACATGAGGGAAGCATTCTAGGAAAGGGTCTAGATCACCAGATATGAGTTTGTTGAGAGGGCGAGGCATGTAACATTTAATATCACATTTAGGGAGTTCTAATATGAGCATCCTTTCAAAATCTAATCTAAAAGTTAGTTTATATTTTCTATGGTAAAATTCAACAAGGTAATGGGGTTGCCAAACTAAATGCTTTAACTTCTGTGGAGTGAACAGAGGGTAAATTTAGGAAACACTCTTCTAGATAATGTGTTTGGGTTGTTTAATATTACTTCTTACTATATGGAATGTTAGCTTCAGAGTCTTAACATACTTGTCTAACATTCTTTCCCTGTTTTCTAATCATTTGAAGATAGATATTGAAATGATGCAAATGCCCTGTTCTCTTTTTGGTGCAGTGTGTGTGTGTGTATATGTTGAGACAGGAAACTAGGGTCTCATTTAACAGATTCTCTTTGGACACAATTGAAAATCTGACCCAGTCTATTCAATATCTATTCAGTGGTGAATGATTACATATTTGAGTTTTGAGTCTTATGAGGTGATGTTGTTGATCACTGTATACAAATAACACCTAACCATGGGGACTTCAAGACATTTTAGAGCATATAATATAAAGTTCATGTATATTCTAACTTGGAGAGAAATTAGAACATAGTAAATGGAGGTAGTAGGTTGTGTAGAAAGATAAATACAGTATCTATTTATTACTACTCTTTTCCTTTATTATACCACTCAGACTGGGCCTCTTCCTTGCTGTTTTTCAAGTGCACCACAGTTCTGCCTCAGGTCTTTTGCATTTGTTTTTCCTCTGCCTTTTTCTCCAAGTGTCTGCATGGATTGCTCTCATATATCCTTTAGGTCTCAGGTCAGGGGTCACCTTTAGAGCAAGGCTTTGAATGACTGTATACTTTATTAAAATAGCAAAACCACTCCCTACACACACACTCCCCCCCACCCCCAGCATCCATTATCTCCCTTCTCAGTTTCTTTTCTTTCTCCCCTCCAATGTTTTTATCATCATCTAATATACTACATATTTTAATTACTTTTTTGCCCCCTGCACCTGCCCCCATGTAAACCTTATGAAAAGGATGTTTATCTATTATGCTAATTTATATATCCAAGAACATAGAATAGTGTCTGGTACCTGGTAAGCGCTAAATAAATATTTGTTTCATGGATGAATTTGAATATAAAGAATAATTTAAAAAGTGGCTAATCTTGTCTACTTTCTTCCAGTTTCCCATACTACCTACTGCCACCATCCTTACCTCCGGCTACTTCTAATCCAGCCTTCCTACTACTGCAGTGTAATCTTCTGTCTGATAAAACTTGCCACTTAGTAGACACCGAGTAAATATTTGTTGAATCTCTGTTAATATTATCTTCTTTCATAGATATCAGACAAGTCTAAAAGTCAGAAATGGCAATAAATTGGCAACCCCATTCTGGTTCTTGAATTATAGGTATCCTCATTTCCAAATTAATTCCAAATTTTGATGTAATGAAAAGAACCCAGTAGTAGAAACCCAGAGTTTTCCTATTCTGTGTGATTTTAGACAATATTTCTCTGTGTTTCAGTTCCTAAATTTTAAAATGACATAATATTTACTCTTCTCATCTCAAAGAAACAAGTAAACAATAGATGTGAGTAAGTTTGGAATGGTATTTAAAACTCTTAAACACAAGGTAGTATTCCAGAGTACATTTTACAACTATCAAGTACTTTTAAATAGTCAAGGCCAGCCCTAGCCGGTTTTGCTCAGTGGATAAAGTGTCAGCTTTCAGACTGAAGGGTCTCAGGTTCGATTCCAGTCAAGGGCACATGCCTGGTTTGTGGGCTTGATCCCCAGTGGGAGGCGTGCAGGAGGCAGCCGATCAATGATCCTCTCTCATAATTGATGTTTCTATCTCTCTCTCCCTCTCCCTTCCTCTCTGAAATCAATAAAAAAAGCACTTCCCGGCTTAAAAAAAACAAGATTACATAATATAACCCCTTATTTTACTAATAAAGAAATCCTTGCTTGCCTGGCTTTTCTAAATGTGAGACTAGAAATACTTTGAACGAAATAAATAGCAGTGTTATATTTTCCCTACAGGGTAAATAAATTTCATTTGGGACTCCAGTATAAAGTCTTAAACCAGACTCATGTTTTTCATTGCAATTTAGTTCTCAAATCTTATTCATGAGCCCTACCTGGTTTGGCTCAGTGGATAGAGCGTCGGCCTGTAGACTGAAAAGTCCTGGGTTGGATTCCAGTCAAGGGCACATGCCCAGGTTGCAGGCTTGATCCCCTGTAGGGGGCATGCAGGAGGCAGTTGATCAATGATTCTCTCTTATCATTGATGTTTCTATCTCTCTCTCCCCCTCCCTTCCTCTCTGAAATCAATAAAAAAAGTAGAAAAAATCTTATTCATGAGCTATAAAAATAAATGGACAGTTAATTTTCTCCTGGCAGATGACAGTAGGAGGGAGAAAGAAACATCTAATCAGTGGGATTTATGATAAATATAAACGAAGTTTATATCTAGATTGTGTTGCTTAAATCATTTCTTTCTCACTAGGCACTTCTCATTAAACTAGTTTTTGTTTTATAATAAACTCATGGATACATTCAAGTCCTTATTTAAATATGTGGGCATTTAAAAAATTGATTTTCAAAAGTTGTTTGGATGTGGTGACTTTAATATTTTTATTTTGTCATCAAATATTTTCAAGTCTGTTTATGAGGGAGAACTGATCACAAAAGACCACATATTATATGGTTCCATTTATTTTGGAAGTGTCCAAAATAGGTAAGTCTGTAGATTAGTGATTACTTAGGGCCAGGAAGGTAAGGGTGGGGTTGGGGGGTGGGGGATAGAAGAACAATGGCTATGGGGTACAAAGTCCCCCCCCCCCCCCACATAACAGGTGGGTCATGTGCCAAAGGTGTAACAGGGTTTGTGGGCTGCACATCTCACACGGCAGCGTGAACACCCAATCATCATGCCCGTGAACTACAAAAGGATCTACAATGTTTCTTTTTGAGATGATGAAAATGTTGATTGTGGTAATGGTTGCACATTTCTGTGACTATACTAAAAACTATTGAATTTTACCCTTTTAAACAGGTGAACTATATGATGTGTGAATTATATCTCAATAAAGCTGTTTTTAAAAAGCATTTATCATAAGAATTGTTTAGTGAACAATGTTATGTCATCTAAATTACCATTGGATTTTTTTGGTAATAGTGGCTAACATTTGTTGATTGCTCATTTTGTGCCAGGAATTGTGCTAAATCCTTTAAAGACTACATTTTTTTTACATTAGGCATTAGTTTCTATGAAGCTTTTCAGCAACACAGTCATCTTTGTATTCTCCAACCACAGAGCCTTACAAATGCCAAAAACTCAAAATATTTGAATGAATGATTATGTGTATGAATGAATGAATTTAGCATTCTGGCATGGCATCTCAACTCATCAGGGCATTGCTTTCTCCTTATGTTTTTAACAGTCTACTCTCAGACCTACTAAGCAATTCTAGCTCACACAGGGATTAGTGGTTATATCAAGTAGAATTTTTCTGACTTGGTTTTGCCATTTCCGTAGAAGTAAGGAAAGAGAAGGAAGAGGAGGACATTATTGTATTGTTCTCCTTCTCTTTGCTCCTTATTTCAGTAGTTGGCAACTCATCTTTAGCTTTCAGTCTTTATATTTACACCTAGTGGGAGTGTTTTAATCTTCCTGCAGATCTTCTCAAGAGAACAATAGCCCAAGAGATTTGACCTCAAGTAGTATTCACAATAGCCAAGAGGTGGAAACAAACCAAGGGTCCATTGACAGATGAGTGAACAAAATGTGGCCTACACATACAAAGGAATATTACCCAGCCTTTAAAAGGAAGGACATTCTGACACATGCTACAACATGGTTGATCCTTGAAAATATTATGCTAATTGAAAAAACCCCAGTCACAATAGAAAAAAATACTGCATGATTCCACTTAATATGAGGTTCCTAGAACAGTCAAATTTATAGAGACAGAAAGTAGAGTAGTGGTTGCCAGGAGTTTGGGGGAGAGGGAAATGGAGAGTTGTTTAATGGGTACAGAGTTTCAGTTTTGCAAAATGAAAAAGTTCTGGAAATCTATTGCACAATAATGTGAATATACTTAACACTACTGAACTGTACACTTAGAAATTATTAAAATGGTAAATTTTATGAGTTTTTACCACAATTTTAAAAAATTGAAAAACACACATAAAAACTGTTTATTTGGGAGAACACAACATGAAATCACTTTGAAAGTAATAGATAGACTCAGCTAAATTAAAAACAAACAATAGAATAAACTGTAAAACAACCCTAATTACATTTCAAAAAGGCTCACTAAGATAAACAAAACAAGCCATCATCTTTTCACTGAATCTAATTCATAGCCATGATTTTATGCTAAACGTACTGAGAAATGATTGTAGGTTTTTAAGAGGGGGAATTATGAAAATGATGTTTGAAGATGCTTACTAGAGGTCTTAAGAAGGAAGGATTAAAGCTAGTTCATAGAGAGAGCACCCTGAGCTGGAGTAGTCTAAGGAAGCTTCCATGAGGAGTCATTTGCAATGGTTCTTTTTTTTTTTTTTTTTAATTCTTGATTGTTGGAAGTATTACATTTGTCTCCTTTTTCCCCCCACTGACCTCTTCCAGCCCACTCCTGACACCCCCCCCCCCCCCATGCAATGGTTCTTAAAAGATAGGTAAGATTTAGATGGGGAGGAGGTAATTACCTTAGGTGGTTAATGAGGAGTCACAGATAAGTGAGGTACAGATAAATAAGAGAAAGTTTAAACACCAGGATAAAACATTTAAATTTGATTTGGTAAGCTTGAGAGATTCTAAATTATCATCATAATTAACATTTGCAAAATACTTCATGTTTATTATCCCATGTGAGCCTCAGAACCATTCGAGGAAAGCACTCCCACTTTACAGATAAGGAACCTGAATGTTGGGGTCCAACCCCAGCAGGTCCAGGGGTCCCCAAAGGTGTGGACGGAGTCGGCAAAGAAGGAATGACACGGAGACAGCGTTCAGTTGATCAGCAGCCTAGCCAGGTTCTAGCCACGGAGACAGCGTTCAGTTGATCTGTTTAGGTTCTCTTGCCATGCCAGGATCTCCAGCCAGGTTCTGTTTAGGTTCTCTTGCCATGTTCTCTCGCTAGGTTCTCCAGCCAGGTTCTGTGTTTTATTGTCTTGTTACATCTGTATTTATACCAGTTGATTTTAATCCTATCAATTTCTATTCCAAAGGTTAGGGCGTTTCTTATCTCCATTCCAGAGAGTAAAGATTATGTAGCTTAAGCGTGATTGTTCGTAGTTAAAGTGATTAACTACCCGCCTGGCACTTAGTTGAGGGGCTTTACTGATAAAAATCCTCACCTGGGGAAACAACCTTTGTCGGGGAGGTGGTCCTGTTTAAAACACATAGCGTTAAGAGGGGGAGCAAACATATGCCATATACGCCAGATCCCTTGAAACATAAGCTGTGCAGATGTTTCTTCCCTGCAGCGACTGTGTCAAGCAGCAAGGGTGGACCGGCTTCCGGCACCTGAAGCTCCCAGACTAGCCACCAGATTATGTTATGCTCATATAGCTTTTTGAGCAATAGAGTGATGTATGCTGTTATGACTGTGATTGTTTTTTAAAACAAATGGAACTTGGTAATTGAAGCCTACCAAAATGGAAAGAAAAGCTTTGATTTGAATTTTATGAGAGTGAAGTTATTTTTAAAAACTCGAATTGGAAGATAAGTTAGTAAATAACAACCAAGTTGTGAGTTTTAAGTTTTTCTTAGTGTTTAGAAATTGAACTCAAGAATATGTCTCTCACCCTCAATTATCTTTATTTTTGAAGCTATGAGTCAAGATTTTTTTTCTTTAACAGCACAGGGCATTTTGCAGATAGATTTGCCTATTTGCAAGTTTGTATAAACTGACTGCAACATACATACAATTAATTTCCTTGGTCTGCAACATATAACAAAATAGTAAATCTTTAGTATAACTAACTCAGTGCCCATCACAGTATCTGGCTTAATGTATGTATTTTATTATTCATTCATGAAATTCTATGAGAGTTAAGAGGAAGATAATTTATACAAAGAAAACGCAAGAGAAATTTTTAGGTGGGCAATGACATTTGGACCTTTAAGATCAGGGTGATCTTGGATATATAGAGATAGAAGGACATTCCAGGGTGAGAGAGCTGTAGGAGCCTAGACCCAGAGGCGGTACCATGTGGAGGTTATATGTAATTTACAAGCCATCCAGTTCTGTTGAGCTGCTGTTACAATGTAATGCTAAAGACATTAGAACAAAAATGATGCTAACATTACGGTGTCGGGTGAATTTCCCGCCAAAATATAAGATGGCGCGTTAAAATGCCTATATCTTTTGAAGTATGGGTTCGATTGAAATGAAATATTTGGTAATACGCAGTTACAATCGGCCCGAGTTTACACGTTTCCCGCACTCCACCGCAAATCTATATGAACCGAGTTAAAGACGGCTCCCGCGGAGTACGCGCAATTCACGCGAGCCGACTTAACTCGTTTCCCGCAACCCAAGTGCTAACAAGGTTCCTGTAGGATAAGTTGAATAAAATGAAGCATGTCCCTTGAGATTTGGTTTGTCTTTTAGGTAGGCCAAGCTATGAGAACATCAAAGATACAGTAGATGGTTTGAATAGCAAAGATAAGCAAGGTGCTTGCAGTCTCTAAGCCTTAATTTCCTCATCTTTAAAAATGAAGCTAGTAAATAACTAGATTGCAGGGTATTTTGAGGATTGAATAAAATAATGTACATGAAGAGCCCTGTTACATAAAAGGTCACTCATTTTGGTGGTTACTGATAGGATCTGCAATGAAAATAGTAATGTATTGTTTAGGGTAAAGAGATGTTTTGTTATCTAAAAGAGTCCATGGTACAATGCAGTGTAACAGCTTTATAAGTATTTTTAATTTTGGTATCAATCACACATACTCCAAAGTGCCATCTGTGTATTGTGACTACAACTTTATCTTTGAATTTCATGGTTTCATGTTTGCTCTGAATATTTCACATAAATATATAGAGGAGTAGCTGCTTATTCCACAGATTCATCATAGCAGATACCATAGAGTACAGATGACACCTTTCTACAGAAGTCCCTTATCTAGCCCCCCTATAAATTCAAATTTGAATAAATTACAAGAAGATCTTTCCAAGAGAGAGTCCATCAAGAATTTTATCGTAAGAGGTTTTAAAATTAAGGAAACTGGGGCTTAGCAAGACTTGTCTCCACAGGTAACTGATGCCAAAACTGGGATTCAATATATGTTTTCTTCTCTCCTTGACTAGGACTTTTTCCATAGAATATACCATTCTGTTTCTTATCAGGTACATCTATATAGTAAACCTGTATTGATCTTAAGAGTTGAGATGGCTGAGGAGAAAAGTTCTGTTAGAAATATTACATGGAGGAGTGATTTTTAAGTTTTAACAGCTTTTTAACAAACTTAACATCTTCTTACAATATAAGTCACATATCATACAGTTCACCCATTGAAATTGTACAATTCTATGACTTACTATATTTACAGAGATTTGCAACCATCACCACAATTTATTTTAGAAGATTTTATTACCCCAAAAAGAAACCCTACTCACTTTAACCATCATTGCCCAAACTCCCCCATTCCCACCAGCCTTAGGCAATAACTAACCTAGTTTCTATCTCTCTAGATTTTTTTATGTTCTGGACATTTTATTTAAATGAAATCATACGATATGTGGTATTTTGTGACTAGCTTCTTTCACTTGACACTGTTTTCAAGATTCATTGGTATTGTAGATGTCAGTATTCCCTTATTGCCAAGTAATATTTCATTGTATGGATATATTATATTTTATTTAACTACTCATCAAGTGATGGACCTATGAGTTGTTCCACTTTTTGATATTATGAATAATGTTGTTGTGTTTATCTGTG